CATCCTGCAGGGTCACTTGCGTCAATCTCTTTGGGGAAGCAGAAGAGATTAAACAAGTGAAACATAGATAGAGGGTACGCAGTCCCACCAAATGAGAAGAACCAGGAGCAGGGAATTGGGATTAAGAGTCCTTTGGATTAGGGGTCCCTTCACCGAAAACCTCCTTGATCAGGGGACGACGGATGCTGAGACACATGAAGCTCTCCAAGAAGCACAGGATCCGCAGACGTTCAAAGCAGACAAGGAACTTCTCCCCAAGCCGACACACAGAGAGACAACCAGCACCCCGCAGATGGACTTCCCGCCTCCTGAGCTGAGAGAAGACATTTCTCTGGCTTGTCGGCCGGCCGGCACCCACGTGTGGGATCTCTAGATGACCGAGGCAGTGCCTGCCCACGAAGAGCCTGCCACGGCTTCACCCTGGGCTCACTATTTGCAGTTGGTTTGGAGCTTCCTACTCCAATCAGGAGAGCAGCACTGGGCCAGGGCCAGGGTCGGCCATGTAGGTGATGTTTGCAAAGGATGTGCTCTGGGCCCATGCACTCACCGAGGGAGATGGAGGTGTGCACCAGATCAGATGTAGGCGGTCGTCATGGCTCCGGCTGATCCGAACTTCTGAGATATTTCCTTTTATAATAATGTATTTTGGAATTGAACATTTTCTTCAGATTTCCCTTTTTAGGACAAAACAAAAGGCGGCAGCAGCCATGCCTGTCTGGCTAGCGCAGGCGTTTTATTTCACGTGAACACACGTTTGGCTATTTCCATCACCTCGGAGATGTGTGTCACTGCAGGGACCCAGCTTGTCACCAGACAAGTCACGCTGCGATGGTGTTCCCCGTGCCAGCCAGCCAGCTGCTCCCCCCAGGCAGTGTTTGAAGGCCGTCCGTGGCCCCTGCTCAGGCTTGTGGTGGGTTTAAATAAGGAAAACTGGGGCCAAGGCTAATGACACTACCAAGGGAGCCAGCCCTTCAATCCCTGACTTGGCCTCCCATTCTCAGCGGGCAGCCCTCCAAACCCTGTTACGAAAATGAGAGCCACCGAGACTGACAGGCCCCACTCCTGGACCATTCTCACACGTCAGGATGAACAAGCAGAGGGGCCAAGCGATCTTCCATGCTCTCGGTTGTTTTGCCCTTGGCTTAGAAAGAGGCCCAGGGAGTTCAGGCCACACAGGGGCCGTTGGCACCAACGATGACAACAAACGCAAACCAAGTGCCTGCTGATTGCAAGCACCCACTGACTGCTGCTTCCGTGGGCACGGGATGACACGGAGTGATCAGAGCACTGGACTGAGAATGCTCATGGGACGGGCAGTAGGGAGGTCCTGAAACACTGTCCTCCATCCTCCTCTTCACTGGCCGGCTCCCTACAGGTGATGGCTGGGCATGGCATGGCATGGCTTGGCTTGGGACAGGCACAAATGAGTCCTGAAAGTGGCATCTTTGCTTTGAAGTGTCTCAGGGAGGGTCTCTGGCGGCAGATGTACCCAATACAGCTCACGGTTGGTCTTCTTGATTGCTGCTTCCACAGGTGTTGAGTTAGTTTATGGTGCCAACCTGGCCGATAACACATGTGGGGTTAATTGAAGGGCAGAGGGATAAATGGCTCCGTGAGCCTCACCTTTCTAGTTCTCGGATCTCTTGCTTTCTGATGGTCAGACCAGTGTGCAGCTGCTTTAGCCAGTTCCCTGCTTCAGCTGGCAAGGTTCACTTCCTGCAGGACATCCCCAAGGAGAAGCCACATGGACCTACCCCGATGCAGCCCTGGGTGCTGGAGAAGCCATGTGGAGACCCCTGCCAGTGCTGAGATGCTTACATGTTCACTGATTCGGCTTTCCTCCTGGAGTCAGCATCACAGTGTGTGTTTTCTGAGATGGAGGACTTTGGAGATCGGTGTCGGGCATATGGATTAATGGTGGACTTGGGCAGCACTGGGTTGGGATGTTTTCTTGATGCGCACTTGACCTTTATATAAAACTCTCTCTTATACATGCGTTTCTGTGGATTTGCTTCTCTAAAGGACCCAGACTAATACAGGCATTGACAGTGGATCCAAGTCAGATCCCCTGGTAGGTCCGCCAAAGCTGGGCGGTGCGGAGGATGGGCCCAGGGGAGGATGCGTCTGTAGCGTGCTGTTGGCAAGGGATACTGACGATGCTGCAGACTTTCAGGAGAAGAACACATCTGTCTTGGGAGCAGCACAGCCAACAGACTCCTCAGCGATGAGAAGGAGAGGCTGCTTCTCTCTTCTCTGATCACGTGACTAGGATGGATCGCAGCTTGGAGATGGATAGCGTGCTCGAGGTAGAGAGAGTCAGTGGAAAAGGAGGCCCTCACAAGATGACGGACATGGGCTGCCGACAGGGGCACAGAGAACCAGGTGTGAGGACGGTGCAGCACCAGGCCGTGCTCCATGCAGTGAGGCCAGGTCACGGTGCGTCAGAACCAGTCCAGGGAACCCACCACAATGACAAAGCACTGCCTACCGGTCACCGGCATTGAGGGTGAGCCTGACCGGTGCCACGTGAGAGACTCGAACCACAAGAAATAGGAAAAGGTCATTATCAAGCCTTTCCGACCTTGACTGTCCATGCAACGGAGGCCAGGAATGAAAGTTCCATCATTAAGTTTTAGTTTGGGGGATAAGCTATAAAAGAGAAGTGCCTGCTGGTTGGAGCCATGGTGTAAGTCGGTCAGTCTGCTTCTCAGTGTCCTACTCAGGGTTCACGCACCATGCTGGCCCCTCTAACTCCTGGCTCTCGTCATGATCCACATGGGGGGTGAAGACTACGTTACCTTCAGGATTTCCCAGAGAACTTGGGGTCTCCCAGCCCTGATTCATTAGTTTGGGATTAAATTCTTTCATTTTTCCACAGTCAGGTGACTGCTGTATAAATTCATACCCAAGAAAACACCAAGCTGCCCGGGGGGGATCTTACTCCTTCTTGAATCTCCCACTTAAGCTCGAGCGTTCCAAGAAACCCAAGCCAACCACGCCCCATGAGCCAGAGACCCGAAGAGCCAGATGGTGGCCAGCTACCACGACCGACCTCTGATCAGGACGCAGGACAAGGCCC